GTGTGTGTGTGTGTGTGTGTGTGTGTGTGTTTGTGTGTGTGTGTGTGCGTGTGTTTGTATGGCTGGCGGAGAAAAGAGTTCCAAAGCCTTATAGGCCATATTTGACCAAATAAGGAACTAACGAAAAACTGTACCCTTCGGGGAAAATTAATATTCGTTAGGATATCAACTGATCAACCATTGATTCATCCTCACAAAACACTTTACTCCAATTCTTCTTCCAAATATATTTCCGAAAGCTTTTAATAACATACCTTCGTCCCGTAACACGACGAAAATGGTTTTTGTTGCTTGTCGATTGAGCACCTTATGTAATGGATATGTTGAGAATTTTTTTTTCTTCTGTTCTTCATGAGAAAAGTTTTGAATGTAAAGGTAGCATTAGTTGCTTGACTTGTTGCGTAAAGTAGTAAAGTAATTCTGACCCCCCCCCCCCCCTTTTGGCCCAATTTAGATCATTTAAGAGGCAGGCTGCTTCAACCACACCTGTCAAGGCCAACAAGGGCTGAGAAGGATACAACTTACCAGCAGACATACTGAAATACTTGACAGACAAATACCAACAGTGGGTGGTTGGCGGGTGCTCTGGTGTGGTTTGCTCCTTCTTTCCTATCAAACATATATCGTTCTTATGTCCCCTTCTTCTTTTTTATGTTGTTTCTCTCTTGTAACACCTCTAATCTTCTGGCGCTCATTTGACCGTATGCAGTTGCGAGCGCCGTAAAACCTCTACTAAAATAAACAGACAAATACAAACAAACAACACCCCGCCCCCGCACAAGAAGCGACGGCCACGCGTCCAAGCAAAGAGTCTACAAGACAAGAGGGTCCACTTCTCTCTTTGAGCCAATTAAAAAAGTGTCCTCAAAATTCGGTGGCGCCCTCTTCGCAAAAGCGCACATTTGCGAACAGAGTTACACTACTTGAGTTTAAAAAATCCAAGTGAAACTAGCAAGTTTTTGAATACATTTCGGAAGAACGCTTTTTTAAAATGGTTACGCTGACAGAAAGCCTCTTCCGGAAGAAAGGGTGATTGTTTTCTCCGTTTAATTTGACTTAAGAATGAAAGGCTAGAGGTCATTACAACCCCCCCCCCCTAAAACTCCACACTGAACGAACCCGAACTGCTGATGAACAGCAGTCGATCTGTGCACGCAAAGAGGTGCTATTCCTATTCTTCTTCTGGAAAAACGAAAGAAAGCTTCAAAACAGACTGCAGCGCCATCTGAAGCAAAGAGCGAACTTCCGGTGAACATTTTTTTGGCTGAGTGGCCCATCTTGTAATGTACTATCTTTGGTCCAAGTAACCACAGAACGTGACGGCTCCCGCGGTAACATGTGTGTGTTGCCAAAACGCTCATAATATTGTCGTCCAGCAGTAAGAATGTACTCATTTTTGGTTAATTTTGTTTTTAGTAAGTGTTTTACGGCGTTCGCAACTGCATAAGCTAACATGAGTGCGCAAAAAATGTACCCAGCCAAAAATGTTGAAGTGTTTTTTTTAAAATTGCTCTTTTCACACTTTTTCCGATCAAATATCAAAATAGAGTGTGTTTGTGTGTGTGTGTGTGTGTGTGTGTGTGTGTGTGTGTGTGTGTATGTGTGTGTGTGTGTGTGCGTGTGTGTGTGTGTGTTTGTGTGTGTTTGTGTGTGTTTGGGTGTGTGTTTGTGTGTCCTGGCCCTTCCCACGGAGGGACCATTTTCTAAATATTCCACATTAGAAACCTTTAACTTTCTTTACCCGTTACTTTCTAAACCTTTCTTTTTCTTAACCTTTCACTTTCTTAATCTTTCACTTTCTTTACTTTCACTTTCTATACCTTCCACTTTCTAAACCTTTCACTTTCTAACCCTTCACTTTCTAATCCTTTCACTTTGTAAACATTTCACTTTCTACACTTTTATTTTCTGTACTTTTACTTTCTATTCTTTTTCTATACTTTTATTTTTATATGCTTTCACTTTCTAAACTTTCACTTTCTCAACTGTTTTTCTCAGACGTTAGAACCACGAGCAAAGAGACATGCAGTACCACAAGGACTACAACAGCAGATGGCCGAATTTAGTAACATCCTTTTGGGGTGCGAACTGGGGCCATCCGTATCGTACAACAGAACGGTACCAAATGAGCTTAAGGAAGACCCAGTCTATATTTATAATTGACCCCCCCCTCTCTCTCTTCCCCCCCCCCCTCTCTCTCTCTCTCTCTCTCTCTCTCTCTCTCTCATTCCAAGAGTAGAATACTATCAGAAAAGTACAATAAACATCCTCTAAAAAGGATCACGAGTATTCTCCATTTTTTGCTCCTTAATGAAGCTGGCTGTACTTATCGTTAATGTCTTATTATATACCTTCAGACAAAGCTCTGATCAATTAGGAGAATAGAGTTCACTGCTTCAGCACTGCGTGTCAGGGTCGATCAGGGACTAAAAGGGATAGAATACCCCAATGCCCAGCAAACAGGCAAAACGATTAATAACTTTGACGGAATAGACTCATTGGACACACATTGTCATACACACAACATACCCTGCAGATATTCAATAAAAGAAAAAAAAACCCAACACCATACAACACGATCTTGGTAATTAATGAGAAAAATAAGAAAAGACACAACATGCCCAAGATAAATTATGTTCATCAAGGAAAAATAACATAAAACAGGATTGGGTAATTAATGAACAAATGAGAACACACCCTACATGAACATGATAAATATTCAACAAATGAGAAAACACCCAACATGATTACGGTAAATTATATTAGAGAAATGAGAAAACACGCATGACTATGGTAAAAAATAGCACTTGAGATTCGGTGGAAAAAGAGAACAGCGTTTTGTTTATTTGTCATGTAGTTGAAGACACCATCAAGACTAACGTAGTTATATAATAACATGTCAATACTTTTTATTAGCTCACATCTGCTGTTGAGTTGAATCAGAATCATTTTCAAAATAATATGAAGAACATTATGTACAGGAATAGAGTCACTCTGTAAATTGGCGTCATATCTGTAGGGGTCAAACTATTGACGTCATGTATGTAGCTGTCAAGCAGTTGTGACATCATGTCTGTAGTGGTCAACCTTTTGAGACATGTCTGTAGTGGTCAATCAAATTGTCATGATGTCATGTCTGTAGTGGTCAACCTCTTGAGACATGTCTGTAGTGGTCAATCAAATTGTCATGGTGTCATGTCAGTAGTGGTCAAGCTGTTGTGACGTCATGCATGTAGTGGTCAAGCTGTTGTGACGTTATGCCTGTAGCGGTTAAGCTGTCATGAGTGGACTCTTCTTATGGCAAGCAGGAGGTGGGGAAAATGTCATCACACACAAGACACAACATAATTACCCTTTGAAGTAGCACAGTATGATGATGATGATGATGAGGAGGATGATGATGATGATGACGATGATAATGATGATGATGATGATGATGATAACGATGATGACGATGATGACGATGATGACGATGACGATGATGACGATGATGATGATGATGATGATGATGATGATGATGATGATGATGATGATGATGATGATGATGATGGTGATGATGAAACTTTCGAGGCTAAATGTTGAGCCGTTTTAATAAGCTATAGATTCTTTTTTAAATTTTAAAATGTATATTTACTGACTGAAACTTAATCAAAACTCATCCTACCTACGTCATTTCTTAAACTGAGAAGATGACGATGATGATGATGATGATGATGATGATGATGATGATGATGATGATGATGATGATGATGATGATGATGATGATGATGAGGCAGCTAAATGTAGAGCCGTTTTAATAAGCCATATTCTTTTTTAGATTTGAAAATGTATATTTACAGACTGAATATTAATCAATATTCATCTTACCTACTTTACTTCTTAAACTGATGATGATGATGATGATGATGGTGATGGTGATGGAGATGGTGATGGTGATGATGATGGTGATGATGATGGTGGTGATGAACATTAGAAATACTTAGGATAATAGAAAACATTGAGGACAATATCGAAAGGGGCTGGAAGCTGTTCATAGATTTTCTTCTTCAGGCATGGAAATAAGTCTTTTCCTGTTCTTTGTTATTATTCTTTCATATATGTATCCGGTCTCTCCCTCTCTCTCACTGTGTCTCTCTTTCTCTTTTCTCTCTCTCTTTCTCTCCGACTCTGTATGTTTGTTTCTCTCTTTCTCTTCTCTCTCTATCTCTCTGTGTCTGTCTTTCTCTCTGTCTCTCTGCCTCTCTCTTTCTCTTCTCTCTCTCAAGTCCAATCCCTTTCTATTCTGTCCCTTTTTTCAAAAATGTCATTCGTTCTCTCTCTCTTTTCTGTCTAACTCTCTTTCTAACTGGCCCTCTCTTTCTTCTAATCCGCCCCCCTTCTCTCCCTCTCTCCTCTCTATCCCCTCTTTCTCTCCCTCTCTCTCTCTCACTCTTTCTTTCTCTCTCAGTAAACTGTGGTGCTGTGTTCTATCTCTGGTTGTCTTGTACACAATACCCTACCACTAAGGTATCCATGGCAATGACTCCCTATGCTACCTACACCAGCTATTCAAATACTTCTTTGGGGTTGTCTTTACTCCTGTTTAACCTTTAAGATGTATGTTACTCTCTGGGTGTATCGGGGTATAGCTAATCTTCCCCACTCCTGTGATCTACTTTTGTCTTGCATGTCCATCTCTGATTGGATCGAATCAAGAAGGTGAAAATCTTTGAAAACTCTCGGACTATTACAAGTCCAGCAATTCTCTGCAGACAGATCGAGCCAAGATCATCAGCAACGCAGCCTAGGGTAGTTTCAGCTCACCACACCCACCCAACATACACGTATTTGTAAGTCGACCCCCCTTCCCCACCAAGTCCTTTTCCCTTTACATGTACTAACAAAAAACTTCAGGTTTTGAACACTAATTTGTGGAAACGTTTCCCCTGTACAAGTATTTTTCGTCGGTTATTTCCCTTCATCTCGAATCTCGGTCATTCGGCTTTAACCCTTAAATAGGATTCAGCATACTTGTTGAATGGAGTTTGACAATGGGTATGTTATATAAAATATAATTGAGAGGGGAAAAGAGTAAGGGGGGGGGGGGGGGGGGGAGAGGTTGTCTGATTAATATAGACTGGGAGGGCTGCCTACATTTTCTGCTGTCTCTGTCTTATAGTGTTTGTTCTGTACTTCTGAGCGTTATTTTTTAAAGAAGGGGTTAAAAAAACCCAACCCCTTTCTTATGATCTTTTCATCTTTTTTCATTTTCATTTTCATTTTTTAGGTGTTTTTTCTTTGGGAGGGGAGGGTCGTTATTCAAAAGTGGAGGAGTGTTGGATGTACATATCTGTATTTCTTTTTTTTTGCCTCTGTCTTACTTCGTTTGTCCCGTATCCTGATTCCATTTCTTTTCTTTTGAAGATGATGGTTGAAGAGTTGATGGAGGGGAGAGAAAGAAAAAAAAGGGGAGAGTGCGGGGTGGGGAGGTTGAGGCAATCTTCTTTTTTCTGTTGCCCCGATCTAATAAAAATAAAAAAGTGATATTGCTGGTTTGTTTGTCGAGCACTGAGCCTGCCATCTCCTCGAGATCGTGCCCTGTTCCCTGATCTGACGTCAGTGTTCAATATTCATGTGGCGTAAATAAAGAAAACAATCACAGCACAGTGTTTGTCTCGGTAGATGAAAAACTCACACGATTTCCCCCACGATTTCCATAACGAAAGAGGTTCACACACAGCGTAAATAAAGGTGGCGAGACAAAGCGAAAAACTCTCCAACAATCATCACGTGATCATTGAGGCGGCTGCTGACAGCACAAAGGGAGACAACTGGAGAGGTAAATAAACCTCGAGTTTGTCTCCCCCAGCTCTCCGTCTGTCTCTTTCAAACTATGTTTGTGAAACCCGAGTGAGGTAATTAGGAGTGGTTAGGTATTCGAGTATTTCGAGTACTTAAGTATTCAACCTCCTGCGAATATTCGCTCGAATGGTTCTAATTATTCGAGTATACACCCGAGTCAAAAGCTTCCATGTAATCGGGTTTGTTGATACATTATATGTCTTTTTCTTCTTTTCCTTTTTCTTTGTGCACTATTCAGATCATCTCAGTAATTTTGAGTTATTTAGATATTTCTGTTTGTTGGTATTACCATTATCAATATTTCTTTCTGGTTTTGTGTCATTGGTTCACATGTACTATCAATTATATTTAAAGCAGCATAATTTAGCACAAATCGGAAGATAAAATTACTAGCGTACAAAATATAAACAGTGTTAAAAAAGTAGCATGACATAAATAGATCTGAACCCCCCC